TCCTGACTGGGGGAGGATTGACCGGGCGCCGAACCTGAACTGTAGCCTCTGGCGACATCAATTTCCAAGCCAACAGAGAAATCACGATGCCAATGAACAAATTCACAAGAGCTTTGATGTGGGATTGAATATATGAACCTTTTTACCGGGAGCCGAGCGGACAGCACAGAGGACTTGTGATCCTGTGGTCCCGGGTTCGATCCCGGGCGCCGGCGAGAAACTATGGGCAGAGTTTCTTTCACCCTATGCCCCTGTTACCTAGCAGTAAATAGGTACCTGGGTGTTAGTCAGCTGTCACGGGCTGCTTCCTGGGGGTGGAGGCCTGGTCGAGGACCGGGCCGCAGGGACACTAAAGCCCCGAAATCATCTCAAGATAACCTCAAGATAACCGTGTCATGGCCGACTAGAACGAGCCTGGGAACACCCTGGGTGTAGATTCGAACCCTGATAGCAGCTCTTGGTGAAATCGAGATGAAAGAGATCATGGCGGGGCGCTGAGACGAAAATATCTCTCTCTCTATTTTTTTAATATTCAAGCGAGAGAGAGAGAGAGGTCGTATTTGCATGAGGAAGAAATGTTATTCTCTCTGTTATAGAAGCAGACCACGTGAGCTTACGTGCCGTACGTGGGTAAGGCAGGGCAGGGCACGACGGGCAGGCACGTGGACAAGCACGTGGACAGGGCAGGGTAGAATCAGTGCTACGTTCCGAGAAACCAAGACACTGGCATGGGCAGCGCTCCTGTGCCAGGTAAGTTACGGGTTTGCCATAGCCCGTGCTACTTGCCCCGCTCCTGTGCCGGGTAAGTTACGGGTTTGCCATAGCCCGTGCTACTTGCCCCGCTCCTGTGCCGGGTAAGTTACGGGCTCACCATAGCCCGTGCTACTTGGAACTTGCTCCAGGTAGATGAATCTATAACAATACTGGTATGGGCACCGCTGGTCGGCCGAGCGGACAGCACGCTGGATTTGTGATCCTGTGGTCCTGGGTTCGATCCCAGGCGCCGGCGAGAAACAACGGGCAGAGATTCTTTCACCCTATGCCCCCTGTTACCTAGCAGTAAAATAGGTACCTGGGTGTTAGTCAGCTGTCACGGGCTGCTTCCTGGGGGTGGAGGCCTGGTCGAGGACCGGGCCGCGGGGACACTAAAGCCCCGAAATCATCTCAAGAAACCGCTCCTGTGCCAGGTAAGTTACGGGCTCACCATAGCCCGTGCTACTTGCCCCGCTCCTGTGCCAGGTAAGTTACGGGCTCACCATAGCCCGTGCTACTTGGATATTGGAATCTATAACAACATCTGGTATGGTGACCAAACCATAGCTACCTTGAGGTTTTTCCGGGGCTTAGCGTCCCCGCGGCCCGGTCCTCAACCAGGCCTCCTTTTTGCTACACCCCCCCACCCCAGGAAGCAGCCCGTAGCAGCTGTCTAACTCCCAGGTACCGACTTACTGCTAGGTGAACACGTGCATCAGCGTGAAAGAAACTCTACCCATTTATTTCCCCCCTCCACCGGGAATCGAACCTTCAGAACTACGACCTATCGAGCGCTATCCAATCAACCAGCGTAAGGACACAAGCCGGGCCCCAAGAGCCAGAGCTCAACCCTCCCGGCAAGCACAACCAGGCGAATGCATCTCATCAGGGCCCGCAATAAAGGTCATATTCCCTTGGCTGCGCAGCGCAGATCTTCACGTGTTAATGGCGTGGCCGACAATGTTTACATCTAGCGAATAGCACTCCCTCCCCGCCAAACACACACCGAAACTACGACGTTGGTACAACGTTCGAACAAGTTTTAACATCTAACCAGTTATAACAACCAATATAGCAAGTTTTAACAACGTTCTAATACGTCATAAACACGTTAAGTCAAGATGTAACAACTTTATTACAAGTTGTAACAACGTTCTAATACGTCATAAACACGTTAAGTCAAGATGTAACAACTTTATTACAAGTTGTAACAAGCGGGAAATAGATAGTTTCGGTTTGTGTTTCCAGGGGTCCAAACCCCACTACCAACCACAACTCCATGCAACCCGTTCTTGCTTATAGTCAATATTGGCTTATTTAATAAGCGCATACGTGACATACTAATTGTGAATATTTTACTTTACCTTGAAAAGCTTCATAGCAAACACCGACCTCACCTAACCTTCTTAGTATGTTAAGATAAGCTTCTTATTGCTTCTTAATTACAATTCAACATAATTACCAATCAACAACACCCTCTTCTCCCCCCCCCCCATTACAACCCCCCCCCCTCCAAACTACACTCACCCCTATACTCATCCCCTTAAAATGTGATTCATGAAATTACGAGCTAAAATCTATTTGTAGGGTAGAAATAGCCTAAACTACTCTATCCCTTTGGTATGCATTTCCTTATTGTCTCAATAAACATACTTAAACTTGAGCTAAGATCAAAACTAGTATTGACTTATTAACTACCAATATTATCGGTCAAATATCTACTTTTGTCTATCGTAATCCGATACTCACCGGATTAGGCTGCCTTTATCTACTATTTTTTTATTTAACCTCAATACAATTATAACTTTATTCAATTTGTTTTGATTCACTTTATTAACTTTCAAACTTTGTTACGATAAATTATTTGATGTTGAGAAATTTTTTCTTGCTCGAGTTTTTATTTTTTTTTTTTACATAAAATGCTTTTCCAATCAAATTATTTTATACAATTTAAAGGAATTTTGAAAAATATATTTTTTTCACCAGTCGCCAAACTTTTTCACAGTTCTGGGCAGCGTCACTCATCCTGTGAGTGGACACACCGCCATAGTGACAGTATTGGGCAGCGTCACTCATCCTGTGAGTGGACACACCGCCATAGTGACAGTATTGGGCAGCGTCACTCATCCTGTGAGTGGACACACCGCCATAGTGACAGTATTGGACAGCGTCACTCATCCTGTGAGTGGACACACCGCCATAGTGACAGTATTGGGCAGCGTCACTCATCCTGTGAGTGGACACACCGCCATAGTGACAGTATTGGGCAGCGCCACTCATCCTGTGAGTGGACACACCGCCATAGTAGCAGTATTGGGCAGCGTCACTCATCCTGTGAGTGGACACACCGCCATAGTGACAGTATTGGCCAGCGCCACTCATCCTGTGAGTGGACACACCGCCATAGTGACAGTATTGGCCAGCGCCACTCATCCTGTGAGTGGACACACCGCCATAGTGACAGTATTGGGCAGCGTCACTCATCCTGTGAGTGGACACACCGCCATAGTGGCAGTATTGGGCAGCGCCACTCATCCTGTGAGTGGACACACCACCATAGTGACAGTATTGGGCAGCGCCACTCATCCTGTGAGTGGACACACCGCCATAGTGACAGTATTGGGCAGCGTCACTCATCCTGTGAGTGGACACACCGCCATAGTGACAGTATTGGGCAGCGCCACTCATCCTGTGAATGGACACACCGCCATAGTGACAGTATTGGGCAGCGTCACTCATCCTGTGAGTGGACACACCGCCATAGCAGCATGTACAACACTCCCCAATAGGAAGAAAACCCGGTGGGTTGTTCATCCTGTCACTTGTACCCAGACACAACTGGGACTTGCCTGTCTCAAATACTGTCCCACAAGGGGCTTACCATCTTACAACACCTCGCTCCTCCTGTCTAAATGTTCGAATTGCATCGTTAGATACATGGGTAATGTTTCACGATACTTTAATCACCTCATCTGAGAGCACATGGGTAAAGCTTACCTTACAGAACCTGACCCTTAGACAGGTTGAGTTTTCCGCTGTTTGAGACCAGTCTTAACCTCTCACAGCGGATATGAAGCTAAGTGCTGTACCACTGTACCACCACAACACAAAGCTAAGTGCTGTATCAGTAAGTCACAGAGGAGAAATAGGAGAACAATCTACTTAAGATTGGACAATCATTTAAAACTCTGATCTACAATGACGGCAAAGTTGATGATTGGAGTCCCACTTCTCATGTTCTATGACGTATGTGTTGACGTGGCTCATATTGTTTTTAAGGTGTGTTTGGGGCCAGAAAGTGGCAGATCTATATTTTGTGGGGCCCCGGAAGGTTGAAGTGTCATGTTCCACCATGTTCCACCACAGTGGGGTTGTTCCACTATGATTTTGTAATAAAATTAACGACTACATCCTAAATTTTGATTAAATATGAGGCATAGACCCAAAATTTTGAAGCATTGTGGACTATAATCCCTTCTAGGACCCTCTCCGAGATTAGGGGCCCAGGAGCTTAAGTTTCACCGGCTTGATAGAAGTTCCATCCCTTGGGATAGACCCTTAACATACAAATACAAATTAAATTTTTACTCTGTGCTTCTCCTTCGGAATTTTAAACTTTCCTTTTTGAAAATAACGGTCAAAACTGGCAGACAAATCAAAGAGATTTAACTGAAACTTCGTTAAGTTTCTATTATTTTTCGTGGTATATCTTGTAAATAATTTTATGTTAACAATATTGTGTATTCCTTTATGCTTTGTGACCCTGTGAAGGTATATTGAGAGCTGCTTCAGAGATGAATGAAGATTAAGCCACCCAAGAGGTGGCACGGGCATGAATAGCCCGTAAGTGGTGGCCCTTTTGAGCCATTACCAGTATCAAAAGATGATACTGGAGATCTGTGGAGGCGCAACTGCACCCTGCGTGACGGGAGATGTCTCCCGGACCAAATGGTGACCAAATGGTGTGCTTCAGAGGTGATTGATTGATTGATATAAAGATTAAGCCACCCGAGAGGTGACACGGGCATGAATAGCCCGTTAAGTGGTAATCTCTGAGGTGTCGTTGTGACGGGTATTCCACAAGAGGTGAAGGGCGGGAAGCGAGACGCAGAAGCACCAGTGTGTCATACACACAGACACTCACGTGGACAGTTGACGCCGGCAGTTCAGGTACACACCATTTGTATTCTATAACGTTTTTGTCTTTCCTCCTTAGGTCTCTCAACACGCCTACTTCTTCTCTCCCTCCCTCTCTCCGACACATGCCGCCGCCCTCTACCCTCTCTCTCCCACGCTTGGTGCTGTCCTCTCCTACGTCTGAGTCACAGACGCCCTTGCCCGCGGCCTATAGCTGGCCACAAGGGTATATAGCAGCGCCCGCAGCCCGTCTCCAACATTACGACTACGACCAGGGAGGCAGTCCAGGCTCACAGTCAATGTAAGTCTCGTCTAACAACATGCAATTTGCAAGGTGTTTTGTGTTGCATCTCCTTGTCTTCACAGTAATAATATTAAGACCATCGCTGGAGCAGGACGGACTGACAACGGTCTATGTGAATGGCAGCAATTTTCTCATTGATATAAAGCGCTATTGTGATTTCCTGATGTACTTAAATAATAATATTATATGTTTGCTGTACACTTACAGTGAATCCGGTCTAGAGGAGCTGCTGTATTAAAGACACTATCCAAACTAAATTAATATTAGACGTTTGGGAACATGTAAATCAGCCGTAGACAAATGAACTCTTCTCTCCACAGTTTTCCATCTGTAACACGAGTCTTTTTAATGTTACAGTGTTCGAAATGCGCAGCTTTACAAGTGTGATGTTGGTGATGTTACTGACGGCGTCGCTGATGTTGATGTGGAGCAATGTCGGCCACGCCCAGTTCTTGGGGGGGCGTCGCACCAGGAAGTACCGCGGCCCCCACCAACGCCGCAACAGACAACGAGCCATCAGAGCCATTCCCAACGACTTCAACGAAGGAGACAGCCAGCTAGTGTCTCTAATTGTCAGCTCAATAGAAAAGCGTTGATTCTGAAGCTACTGACGGAGGCCGCCTAGCTGTCCGCGCATTAGACAAGAGGCTTCAACATGCCTAATGTGATCTTGTTCCACAGTGATGGCTTTATCTACCCCACACACACCTCGGCCTCAACATACATGATGAATACGACGCAGACTTTACCAGTTATTCATCCTCTTGGACAAAACATCGCTGCAAACAGCGGCTTCCTTACATCGGAACACTGCGGGCGTCGCCCACATCACCAAAGTGCTTTCTCTGTTCAGCACTTCTTAACGCTAACAATAACATCTTATTCTTAACTGATAGACTAAGTAGATACAATAGTTACATGGTGGTAACTTTATCCTTAAACCTGTGTTCAACCAAGCTGCGGCCAAACCCAAAGTCACCGTAATAACTTTTTCTATATGATATTTCCATAAATCAAATTTTTATTTTCACACAATTTTAAAAGCTATAAAGGATCTGATTACAGTGATTACAATATATTTATATTTTTATACAGCACTAATCACTCGTAGCTTTTGTGTACAAGTAGGCCTATAGGTTAGAACCATTTTTTATTGTATTTACAAAACTTGGGTGAATTATTTCAACTCAAATTTAGGCTATGCTGCTCCAAGCTGCGACCCAAACCCAAAGACATCTTCATAAATTCTAAAAAACTGTATTAAAAAACGTGATTTACTCAGATATAAATTAATATATATTATAGTTTTGTGAAAAGTTAAACCTAGGGAAGGTTAGGCTAGGTGTTTTGACTTCCCTGGCCATTATTTGTACTCACAGTAGGTGGGTAAAGCCTTTAGAGAGGTGTTATTTTTCGAAAAGTAGAAAGTGAGTAAAACTGAGTTTGAGAAAAGTTTTAATAAGCTACAAGATTTGTGTCTATAGTGGAACAGTATTCATAATTGAAGAGTCTGAGGCTTTCTCTCAAAGCTGTGTCCTGTAGACCTTTCTTACCCAATATAGTCTTAATATAAGCTTTGTATAAAGTTTTCATGTATATATATATATATATATATCCAACGTTTTCATATAAATATATATTTTAGTACAAAACTGAAAGATTCATGTTTTTCGTATCCTCCTGACGCTATTGTGTGTCTTAAAATTTTCTGTTACGTCAAGCACAGTTTCCATTATTTCCCTTTTAACCCTTAGACGACAGCCTACAGCTAAACCCTTAGACGACAGCCTACAGCTAAACCCTTAGACGACAGCCTACAGCTAAACCCTTAGACAACAGCCTACAGCTAAACCCTTAAACGACAGCCTACAGCTAAACCTTTAGACGACAGCCTACAGCTAAACCTTTAGACGAAAGCCTACATTTTAACCCTTAGAAGACAGACTACAGCTAAACCCTTAGACGACAGCCTACAGCTAAACCTTTAGAAGACAGACTACAGCTAAACCCTTAGACGACAGCCTACAGCTAAACCTTTAGACGACAGCCTACAGCTAAACCCTTAGACGACAGCCTACACTTTAACCCTTAGAAACCAGCCTAAACAAACAATTTGTTCAGATTCTGTACCAATTTTCATTCGCCATTTTTGTATTTGGTTTTTATCATATTCTTATAATCTTAATTTGTTGCCTGTTCTTTTGTACCATGAATACAAACTGCTAATTTGTCTGCCTTCATTGGCAGACAAATTGCGTTTGATTATCATTTATTTATGTCACACATATATGTAAGTCGCGTAGCTTAACGCAGGCTGTCCATATTCCGTTGCTTAATTAGCAAAGTTTGACATTCTGTTTCAAATTTCCCAGAAATGTAATAGTTTTGTACTTGGTCATAAACAATCACATCACCACTACATTTATGTTACATTTACATTATCAGACATGATCACCACCTACAAAATTCTCAGGGGAATTGACAGGGTGGACAAAGACAATCTCTTCAGCACGGGTGGGACACGAACAAGGGGACACAGGTGGAAACTTAGTACCCAAATGAGCCACAGAGACATTAGAAAGAATTTTTTCAGTGTCAGAGTAGTTAACGGATGGAATGGAATACTCAGGTGGAAACTGAGTACCCAGATGATCCACAGAGACGTTAGAAAGAATTTTTTCAGTGTCATAGTTAACAAATGGAATGCATTAGGAAGTGAAGGCGATGAGTCACAATAACGTGGCTGAAGTAATCGAATCACAATCGACTTGAGAATGGTCCAGGACGGACCGAAACGTCGTCGTCTCTTCAATTTCTAGTGTGTGGTCTGGTCAACATTAGGAAGTGATGTGGTGGAGGCTGACTCCATACACAGTTTCAAGTGTAGATATGATAGAGACCAGTAGGCTCAGGAACCTGTACACCTGTTGATTGACAGTTGAGAGGCGGGACCAAAGAGCCAGAGCTCAACCCCCACAAACACAACTAGGTGAGTACTGGGTACCGAATGGGAGATGAAGTCCATCAGGAAACGGACAGAGAGAAAGATCTAAGAGTTGATATCACGCCAAACCTGTCTCCTGAAGCCCACATCAAAAGAATAACATCAGCGGCATATGCGAGGCTGGCTAACATCAGAACTGCCTTCAGAAACCTGAGTAAGGAATCATTCAGAACCTTGTATACCACATATGTAAGACCAATCCTGGAGTATGCGGCCCCAGTATGGAGCCCGTACCTTGTGAAGCACATGACGAAGCTGGAAAAAGTTCAGAGATATGTGACTAGGCTAGTCCCAGAAATAAGATTCAGATTCAGATTCAGATTCAGATGTTTATTCAGGTAAGGTATATACATACAAGTGATGTTACATTAATGGATTGATATATAGATAGAGCTAGTACATACAATGCCTAAAGCCACTATTACGCAATGCGTTTCGGGCAATAAGAGGCATGAGTTACGAGGAAAGGCTGAGTGAACTACACTTAGGGGAATTGACAGGGTGGACAGGATGGATTATTTAACACGGGTGGTACACGCACAAGGGGACACAGGTGGAAGCTGAGTACCCAAATGAGCCACAGAGACATTAGAAAGAACTTTTTCAGTGTCAGAGTAGTTAGTAAATGGAATGCATTAGGAAGTGACGTAGTGGAGGCTGACTCCATACACAGTTTCAACTGTAGATATGATAGAGCTCGAGAAACTCAGGAATCTGTACACCAGATTCACATATGGAATGTGGAATAGGAGAACATAGACCCCACACAACCTATATATTATGAGAGAAATCTTTAAAGAATTCTGATAAAGAAAGAGATCTAGGGGTGGTTCCAGATAGAAAATTATCACCTGAGGACCACATAAAGAATATTGTGCGAGGAGCCTATGCCACGCTTTCTAACTTCAGAATTGCTTTTAAATACATGGAAGGCGATATACTAAAGAAATTGTTCACGACTTTTGTTAGGCCAAAGCTAGAATATGCAGCAGTTGTGTGGTGCCCATATCTTAAGAAGCACATCAACAAACTGGAAAAGGTGCAAAGACATGCTACAAAGTGGCTCCCAGAACTGAAGGGCAAGAGCTATGAGCAGATGTTAGAGGCATTAAAAATGCCAAAACTAGAAGACAAGAAAAAGAGGTGATATGATCACTACATACAAAATAGTAACAGGAATTGATAAAATCGATAGGGAAGATTTCCTGAGACCTGGAACTTTAAGAACAAGAGGTCATAGATTTAAACTAGCTAAACACAGATGCCGAAGAAATATAAGAAAATTCACTTTCACAAACAGAGTGGTAGACAGTTGGAACTAGTTAGGTGAGAAGGTGGTGGAGGCCAAGACCGTCAGTAGTTTCAAAGCGTTATATGACAAAGAGTGCTGGGAAGACGGGACACGACGAGCGTAGCTCTCATCCTGTAACTACACCTAGGTAATTACCAGTAGAGTGACTGTTGAGAGGCAAGACCAAAGAGCCAGAGCTCAACCCCCGCAAGCAGAACTAGATGAGTACAACTAAGTGAATACACCCTCTCCCCCCCCTCTCTCCCTCACATGCTGCTGCCCTCTACCCTCTCTCTCCCACGCTTGGTGCTGTCCTCTCCTACGTCTGAGTCACAGACGCCCTTGCCCGCGGCCTATAGCTGGCCACAAGGGTATATAGCAGCGCCCGCAGCCCGTCTCCAACATTACGACTACGACCAGGGAGGCAGTCCAGGCTCACAGTCAATGTAAGTCTCGTCTAACAACATGCAATTTGCAAGGTGTTTTGTGTTGCATCTCCTCGTCTTCACAGTAATAATATTAAGACCATCGCTGGAACAGAGCGAGAGACTGAAAACGGTCTATGTGTATGGCAGCCATTTTCTCATTGATATAAAGCGCTATTGTGATTTCCTGGTGTATTTGAATAATATTATTGCATGTTTGCTGTGCACTTACAGTGAATCCGGTCCAGAGGAGCTGATGTAATGTATTAAAGACACTATCCAAACTATATTTTACACTTCTAAACTTTTTTCTTGAGCTTCTCCATCCTCTTTACTCTCCAAAAAAAAATATCCACCATAAACGGATTAATCTTAGACGTTCGGGAACATGTTGATCAGCTGAAGACATTCTAAATGAACTCTCCTATCCGCTATTTTTCATCTGTAACGCGAGTTTATTAAATGTTTCAGTATTTGCGATGCGCAGCTTTACAAGTGTGATGTTAGTGATGTTACTGACGGCGTCGCTGATGTTGATATGGAGCAATGTCGGCCACACCCAGTCCTTAGGGCATCGCACTGGGAAGTATCGCGGTCCTGATCATCGCCGCGACAGACATCGCGAAATCAGAGCCATTCAGAACGACTCTAACAAAGGAGACAGTCGGCTAATACCTCTAATTTTCATCGCTATAGAAAAGCGCTGATTCTGAAGCTAGTGACTGAGGCTGCCTAGCAGTCTGCACATGAGACGAGGCTTCAACTTGTCTAACGTGATCATCTTGTTCCACGGCGATTTATTGTATTATATTCATTGTATTATTCATTGTATTATTCATTGTTATTATTTTAGTTTTGTGTAAAGTTAGACCTAGGGAAGGTTAGGCTAGGTGTTTTGATTTCCCTGGCCATTATTTGTACTCACAGCAGGTGGGTAAAGCCTTTAGAGAGCTGTTATTTTTCGAAATGTATAGAGTAAGTAAAAGTGTGTTTGAGAAAAGTTTGAATAAGCTGTAAGACGTGAGTATAAAACTTTATATTCATAGTCAGAGGGCGGCTGACTATGATTGAATCCGCCGGATTCAATAATCCGGCGGATTCAATAATCCGGCATGTGCTGGATTATTGAGAAGTTGGCCAATGTTGTTGGCCAATCTTCATTTGGTTGATGATGGGTTGAATCTGGTTGTTAATGTGCAGAATTCACCCACTTAGGAGGGTAGAAATAGCCTAAGCTACTCTATCCCTTTGAGATGTATTTTTTTCTTGTCTCAATAAACATACTGGAACTTCATCCACTAAGAAGAGAGACTTCACCCGTACATGGAGCCGCTGAAGGCTTACTCTCAAATCTGTGTCCTGAAGACCCTTGTTACCCAATATAGTCTTAATATAAGCTTGGTGTCAAATTTTAATGTGTATATATGTATACAACTTTTTTCATATAAATATATATTTTAGTACAAAAGTGAAAGCTTCATGTTTTTTGTATCCTCCTGACGCTATTGTGTGTCTTAAATATTTTCTGTTACGTCAAACGCAGTTTCCATTATTTCCCTTTTAACCCTTAGACGACAGCCTACAGCTAAAACTTTAGACTACAGCCTATAGCTAAAGCTTTAGAAGACAGCCAACTGGTAAACCCTTAGACGACAGCCTACAGGTAAACCCTTAGACGACAGCCTACAGGTAAACCCTTAGACGACAGTCTACAGGTAAACCCTTAGACGACAGCCTACAGGTAAACCTTTAGACGACAGCCTACAGCTAAAACTTTAGACTACAGCCTACAGCTAAAGCTTTAGAAGACAGCCTAAACCTAAACCTTTAGAAGACAGCCTACAGCTAAACCTTTAGAAGACAGCCTACAGCTAAACCTTTAGAAGACAGCCTACAGCTAAAACTTTAGACTACAGCCTACAGCTAAACCCTTAGACTACAGCCTACAGCTAAAACTTTAGACGACAGCCTACAGCTAAACCCTTAGACGACAGCCTACAGCTAAACCCTTAGACGACAGCCTACAGCTAAACCCTTAGACAACAGCCTACAGCTAAACCCTTAGACGACAGCCTACAGCTAAACCCTTAGACGACAGCCTAAGCAAACAATTTGTTCAAATTCTGTACAAATTTGCATTCCTCGTTTTTGCGTTTGATTTTTATCTTTATCTTATTATATTCTTAATCAGCTTTCTGCTCTTTTGTACCATGAATACAAACTGCTAATTTGTCTGCCTTCATTAACTACCATATTGCGTTTGATTATGATTTATGTAAGTCACACATATATGTAAGTCACACATATATGTAAGTCACACATATATGTAAGTCACACATATATGTAAGTCGCGTAGCTTGTCGCAGGCTGTCCATATTCCGTTTAAATTAGCAGTTTGAAATTCCTGTTTCAAAAATTCCTTCCAAATTCAGAAATACAATATTTGTGTACTTGGTCATAGGCTATGTTACTGAACCGCTGAACCGCGTGTTCATGGCGTCATTCCTCTGAATACATCTGAGTTGATGGTATGAGATGGCATGATGCGCTGAGCGCTAACCCCAGCGCTGAGAGCTGGGGTTGGGGGACGGTTGTAAAAGTAGTAGATTGTTAAAAGATATTTAGCGGTGGAGGGGTTAAGAAGTTCGCTGGTAGTTGTGCTGGGGTAAGGAAGGTGGATTAGAAGTGGTTTCTTAGGCAGGGTTCCGGGGTGTTGGGGATTGGGAGGGGTAGTGGTGCTTGCTTGTTTTGGAGGGAAATGTGAGTCTGGGAGGGTAGGGAGCCGTAGACGTTAGAGAAGGAAGAATTGTAGGGGAGATATTTCGCTGTGGAAAGGGAATATGGGAGGGGGAAGAGCCAGACATTGGTGGGGAAAAAGGAGTTGGTTGATTGATGGGGTTCTGGGAGTTCTTCTACTCCCCAAGCCCGGCCCGAGGCCAGTAAGTGATAGCCCGAGGAGTGTAACAGTTATGTGTGCGTGTTGGGATGTGTGGATATATACACATGTATGTGTATGTGTGCTATTGCATTTGCATGCTAGTGTGTGTAATAATTTATGGGCATGAGTGAGTACCTGTGTACTCAGGTATGAATGCTGAGGGACCTGCCACACACACACACCGGCCGACCAGCACGCTGGACACGTGATCAATTGGTCCCGGGTTCGATCCCGGGCGCCGGCACGAAACTATGGGTAGAGTTTCTTTCACCCTATGCCCTTGTTACCAAGCAATAAATAGGTACCTGGGAGTTAGTCAGCTGTCACGGGCTGCTTCCTGGCGTGTGTGTGTGGGAGTGTCTCCATCACTTTGAATACCGTGCAAGGTAAGGTTATCTTGAGATGATTTCGGGGGTTAGCGTCCCCGCGGCCCGGTCCTCGACCAGGCTTCCTTTTTGTTACACACACCCTAGGAAGCAGCCCGTAGCAGCTGTCTAACACCCAGGTACCTATTTACTGCTAGGTAACAGGGGCATCAGGGTGAAAGGAACATTTTGCCCATTTGTCTCCGCCTCCACCGGGGATCGAACCCGGAACCTCAGGACTACGAATCCGAAGTGCTGTCCACCCAGCTGTCACGCGCCCTTATGATGGAGAAGATCGTGAGGAAAAGGTTCGTAGAATATCTGTAGGAAAGGAACTTAGCAACACACCACCAACATGGGTTCAGGAATGGTAAATCGTGCTTCCCAACCTCAATAGAATTCTATGACCAGGCGGAAAAAATAGACAAGATAGAGAAGAGTGGGCAGACTGCATTTTCTTGGACTGTTAGAAAACCTTTGACACAGTAAACCCATAAAAGGCTGTTACAAAAGTTGGAGCAACAGGCAGGAGTAAAAGGTAAGGTGCTCCAGTGGATAAGGGAGTATCTAAGCAACAGGAAATAGCGAGTAACTTGTGTCAGGTAAGTCCACTACGGGCTCACCATAGCCCGTGCTACTTGCCCCGCTCCTATGCCAGGTAAGTCCACTACAGGCTCACCATAGCCCGTGCTACTTGCCCCGCTCCTGTGCCAGGTAAGTCCACTACGGGCTCACCATAGCCCGTGCTACTTGCCCCGCTCCTGTGCCAGGTAAGTCCACTACGGGCTCACCATAGCCCGTGCTACTTGCCCCGCTCCTGTGCCAGGTAAGTCCACTACGGGCTCACCATAGCCCGTGCTATTTGCCCAGCTCCCCAAAGATCTGGGAGTTGATATCACACCGAACCTGTCCCCAGAGGCCCACATCAAAAGGATATCATCAGCGGCATATGCTAGACTGGCCAACATAAGAACTGCCTTTAGAAACTTGTGTAAGGAATCGTTCAGGACCCTGTATACCACTTATGTAAGACCAATCCTGGAGTATGCAGCTCCAGCCTGGAGTCCATACCTAGTTAAACACAAGACAAAGTTAGAGAAGATTCAGCGGTATGCCACCAGACTCGTCCCGGAACTGAGAGGTAAGAGCTACAAGGAAAGGCTACGGGAGCTAAATCTCACGTCCTTGGAAAACAGAAGAGAAAGGGGAGACATGATGACCACCTACAAAATTATCAGGGGAATTGACAGGGTGGACAAAGACAAACTTTTCAGCACGGGTGGGACACGAACAAGGGGGACACAGGTGGAAACTTAGTACCCAAATGAGCCACAGGGACGTTAGAAACAATTTTGTTCAGTGTCAGAGTAGTTAACAGGTGGAATGCATTAGGCAGTGATGTGGTGGAGGCTGACTCCATACACAGTTTTAAATGTAGATATGATAGAGCCCAATAGGCTACATAATCTGTACACCAGTTGATTGACAATTGAGAGGCGGGACCAAAGAGCCAGAGCTCAACCCCCGCAAGCACAACTAGGAGAGTACACACACACACACACACACACACACACACACACACACACACACACACACACACACACACACACACAGTTGAGAAAGTCTACATTACAGCCCCGCGGCTCCCATCGGAAATACTAAACCTGTAATTCCAAGAGTTAGATCAGGAAGACGTGCTTAGCCAGACTGAGCCTAACACCTGCGAGGGTGATAGGCAGGTGTTAGGCTAGCTAGCTTAGCTAGCCTAATCTTGCATATATTAGTTTATGCAATACAATACCCTGGAAACACAAACCGAAACTGTCTCTATTTTCCGCTTGTTACAACTTGTAATAAAGTTGTTACATCTTGTCTTAACGTGTTTATGACGTATTAGAACGTTGTTACAACTTGCTATAATGGTTTTTATAACTGGTTAGGAGGTGTTAAAACTTGTTCGAACGTTGTACCAACGTTGTAGTTTCGGTGTGTGTTTGGCGGGTAGTGATTTGTCTGTGATCCAGATGTGGTAGAAGGCCGACTGCGTTACTGTGCAGGCCGGCGTTCGATCCCCGACGGTCCAAATGGATGGGCACCATTCCATTCCTTCCGATTGATATACAGTCGTACTGGCTTAGCGTTTTTCTTCACAACATCGTACCTTCCGCCCTCGGGAGAGCAACAGAGCTGCGTTCAGACACCAGACCGTAAAACCAACTAACATTTAACCTTTATTTCTACGTTGAAGGTTATTGGGCAGTCTGGTAGAGGTTTCCGCCACTAGAAGCGTGGGTGAGGTTATCTTGAGATGATTTCGGGGCTTTAATGTCCCCGCGGCCCGGTCTTCGACCAGGCCTCCACCCCCAGGAAGCAGCCCGTGACAGCTGACTTAACTCCCAGGTACCTATTTTACTGCTAGGTAACAGGGGCATTCAGGGTGAAAGAAACTTTGCCCATTTGTTTCTGCCTCGTGCGGGAATCGAACCCGCGCCACAGAATTACGAGTCCTGCGCGCTATCCACCAGGCTACGAGGCCCCCCCCCCCCCCGAGGTGACTGTGAAGATCCAGTTCCGTGTGTCGAAGGTGCAGGTCACATGTGAGTCAATACTGGACTTGTGATCCTGTAGTCCAGGGTTCGATCCCAGGCGCCGGCGGGAAACAATGGGCAGAGTTTCTTTCATCATCTTCAAGCACGGGTTGGACAAGTATATGAGTGGGATTGGGTGGTTATAGAATAGGAGCTGCCTCGTATGGGCCAATAGGCCTGCTGCAGTTACCTTTGTTCTTATGTTCTTATGTTCTTATATGCACCTGTTACCTAGCAGTAAAATAGGTACCTGGGTGTTAGTCAGCTGTCACGGGCTGCTTCCTGGGGGTGGAGGCCTGGTCGAGGACCGGGCCGCGGGGACACTAAAGCCCCGAAATCATCTCAAGATAACCTCCAAAGGAACCCCAACAAGGGGAAGGAACACAATCGACTTGAGAATGGTCCAGGACGGACCGAAACATCGTCGTCTCTTCACCTTCTAGTGTGTGGTCTGGTCAACATACTTCAGCCACGTTATTGTGACTCCTCGTCTGCACAAGGGGAAGTGACTCTACACAAGACTCACCGGACTCCAGTGAGTTCTCAAGTCTATTGTGTTCCTTCCCCTTGTTGGGGTTCTTCTTGAGGTTATCTTGAGATGATTTCGGGGCTTTAGTGTCCCCGCGGCCCGGTCCTCGACCAGGCCTCCACCCCTAGGAAGCAGCCCGTGACAGCTGACTAACACCCAGGTACCTATTTTACTGCTAGGTAACAGGGGCATATGATGAAAGAAACTCTGTCCATTGTTTCTCGCCGGCGCCTGGGATCGAACCCGGGACCGCAGGATCACAAGTCCAGCGTGCTGTCCGCTCGGCCGACCGGGGTCCTCACAGATTTGATTTGAGAAGCAGAATTTAGGCTAGGAAATTGGACGCTATGCCAGGGGTGGACTGAGGGACTGGCGAAGGCGAACAGGAAAAGGCTAGAGAGGCTTCTCTAGCCCATGAGGCTAGAGAAGGACGGGGTAGACGAACTTCAGGAAAGGCGAGAGACGCCGTGCAGGCCAGCAAGAGAAATTGAAGTATTTACAATTCCTGAACACAGCCTAGCTTTCAACTTTTCTATTACCAACTCGACCCACACTCCCTATCCCCCCTTCCCCCTTGTGGCACAGAAGCTCCTCCCCCGCCTTGACACGAAACCCCAGTATATAAGAGAGTGAGAAGCGAATCTCACACTCTTACGGGCTCGCCATAGCCTGTGCTACATGGACACTTCGTTCTAAAGCTAAAACATCAACGAATCTCACACACCACCATAGCCCTGAAGCCTATGCTAGTAGGTTCCTTCAGACAAGGTGAGAGAAGCAATTTGACCACACACTAGAAGGTGAAGGGAAGACGACGTTTCGGTCCGTCCTGGACCATTCTCAAGTTCGATCGACGACGACGTTTCGGTCCGTCCTGGACCATTCTCAAGTTCGATCGACGACGACGTTTCGGTCCGTCCTGGACCACAATCGACTTGAGAATGGTCCAGGACGGAGCGAAACGTCGTCGTCCCTTCACCTTCTAGTGTGTGGTCTGGTCAACATACTTCAGCCACGTTATTGTGACTCATCGCCTGCAGAAACAATTTCTTAACAAAGTTTAGTAATTACCCATTTTTTATGAGAGTCAAGAGTCATTTGAAGAATTTAATTGTTGCGTATTAGTCTGTGGTCCCGCGAATTTTTTTTAATGTTTTATATAAAATAAAGAGCCTTTGACAGGACTCTTATAGTTTATTATACGCTCTATGATCATCCTGTGAGCGGTAGTTTATTGTGCACCCCATACTCCTGTGAGTGGTGGGTTATTGTGCACCCCATACTCCTGTGAGTGGTGGGTTATTGTGGACCCCATACTCCTGTGAGTGGTGGGTTATTGTGCACCCCATACTCCTGTGAGTGGTGGGTTATTGTGCACCCCATACTCCTGTGAGTGGTAGTTTATTGTGCACCCCATACTCCTGTGAGTGGTGGGTTATTGTGCACCCCATACTCCTGTGAGTGGTGGGTTATTGTGCACCCCATACTCCTGTGAGTGGTGGGTTATTGTGCACCCCATACTCCTGTGAGTGGTGGGTTATTGTGCACCCCATACTCCTGTGAGTGGTAGTTTATTGTGCACCCCATACTCCTGTGAGTGGTGGGTTATTGTGCACCCCATACTCCTTTGAGTGGTGGGTTATTGTGCACCCCATACTCCTGTGAGTGGTGGTTTATTGTGCACCCCATACTCCTGTGAGTGGTAGTTTATTGTGGACCCCATACTCCTGTGAGTGGTAGTTTATTGTGCACCCCATACTCCTGTGAGTGGTGGTTTATTGTGCACCCCATACTCCTGTGAGTGGTAGTTTATTGTGGACCCCATACTCCTGTGAGTGGTGGGTTATTGTGCACCCCATACTCCTGTGAGTGGTAGTTTATTGTGCACCCCATACTCCTGTGAGTGGTGGGTTATTGTGCACCCCATACTCCTGTGAGTGGTGGGTTATTGTGCACCCCATACTCCTGTGAGTGGTGGGTTATTGTGCACCCCATACTCCTGTGAGTGGTGTGTTATTGTGCACCCCATACTCCTGTGAGTGGTAGTTTATTGTGCACCCCATACTCCTGTGAGTGGTGGGTTATTGTGCACCCCATACTCCTGTGAGTGGTGGGTTATTGTGCACCCCATACTCCTGTGAGTGGTGGTTTATTGTGCACCCCATACTCCTGTGAGTGGTAGTTTATTGTGGACCCCATACTCCTGTGAGTGGTAGTTTATTGTGCACCCCATACTCCTGTGAGTGGTGGTTTATTGTGCACCCCATACTCCTGTGAGTGGTAGTTTATTGTGGACCCCATACTCCTGTGAGTGGTGGGTTATTGTGCATCCCATACTCCTGTGAGTGGTGGGTTATTGTGCATCCCATACTCCTGTGAGTGGTAGTTTATTGTGCACCCCATACTCCTGTGAGTGGTAGTTTATTGTGCATCCCATACTCCTGTGAGTGGTAGTTTATTGTGCACCCCATACTCCTCCTGTGAGTGATAGCTTATTGTGCACCCCATACTCCTGTGAGTGATAGTATATTGTGCACCCCATACTCAACGTTCGAGCGATGGCACAAAAGGTTTATAGAGGGCATATACTCGTAATTAGCAACACTGCTTGCACCAGGTTCGTAAGTGCTCGCGTAACTGCGTCGTAAATCTGGCCCCTGACAGAGGACGTACTCTCTCTTGTGTCCCAACCTCTGACCCTCAAACTTAGATGCGCTGGAGAGACCCAAATCACAGGTGGAGGCCTGGTCGAGGACCGGGCCGCGGGGACACTAAAAGCCCCGAAATCATCTCAAGATAACAGCGAGGGGGCTTAATTACCGTCACTATGATGGGGACTTAGCTCACAAATTCCCCTATGTCACCTGTTCACACCCCAAAAGACGGAACACAACATATAACTAGATGGTGATTGTATAACTAGTGCTATACTTCCATATGACCTCAATTTATCATGTTCTTCACTAGGCTACTGCTTGCTGCTCCTTATCAATTTGCTATACAGAATTCACTTCAACGTTTGAGCTAGGCTTCCACATATAAATTAATAATTACAATAAATAAATACTCTCATCTTTCACTGCGTCAAATGCACATATATATATTCGTAAGTGCACGCGTATATATATATATATATATATGCAGAATAACCACATATGAAAAATAGAAAATGCTTAACGCGTTTTCGGCTAATTCGCCTTCATCAGAGCAAAGTAGAATGAGGATAAGATTGCTGATCAGACCTTTATATCCGCCTGGGCAGATCACCTGACCACCAAAAATAAGTGGAGGAAAGGAATTATAAGAAAGAAGGTAATTGCATGTAATCATTCTATCGACTTCACAGGGGCAAAATGTATTGTTAAAAGTAAGGATTTTGTTGAACGAAACGTGATCGAGTCTGCCCTGATCAAACATTGTAACAACAGCCTTAATGTGAGCCCCGGTATGTACAAGTTGGATCCCTATTTTAGCCTCAATATAGCACGTCAAAACAATATAGCAATCATTTAAACACGTATGGCACTTGGAGATATTAATAGGAGCTGCCTTGTATGGGCCAATAGGCCTTCTGCAATTACCTTCTTTCTTATAATTCCTTTCCTCCACTTATTTTTGGTGGTCAGGTGATCTGCCCAGGCGGATATAAAGGTCTGATCAGCAATCTTATCCTCATTCTACTTTGCTCTGATGAAGGCGAATTAGCCGAAAACGCGTTAAGCATTTTCTATTTTTCATATGTGGTTATTCTGCATACTTGGATCAGTGTTTTTGTGATCATTGTTGCATATATATATATATATATATATATATATATATATATATATATATATATATATATATATATATATATATATATATATATGCCTCTTATAAACACATACAAACGGCCAAACAACCCTCTTTATTTCGGCTTATAGATTAATTCCCTTGTTAGCAAACAAGACTTGTTGACCACACACTAGAAAGTGAAGGGACGACGACGTTTCGGTCCGTCCTGGACCATTCTCAAGTCGATTGTCTTGAGAATGGTCCAGGACGGACCGAAACGTCGTCGTCCCTTCACTTTCTTCCAGCGTATCAATAGCATAATCGTTCATGGGATGGTTCTCGATTAAGCATAAACTTGCAATATCGTATACACGGGCGTCGACCTTACATGAGCCTGCAAGTTTGCCATAATTGAATAGTCTCCTTCCAATAGACAATTATAAAAATGGTTAAAATAACACTTCACCGACACCCCAAAGTCACTTGGCGGAGGAATACACAGTGAGAACCTCCACCTGCCAGCGAGCCCGCGCAGTCACCTCTCGACCACCATCGTGAGAGCATGTGTCGCTCTCGCCTCCCTCATGCTATTTCATCCTAATCATATTATATAATTTCATTATCACTGCAAGGATGACTGATTTTCATTTCTAAACCTCAATATAGGATTATCAGGCGTTTAATTTATCTGAAATGGGTAATTTAAAGGCTCTTACCTCAAAATTGGAGGAGTGACGACGCTTGCTGCCCAGTCAAAAATGGCGCGCTTCCAGGTTGCCCGCAAACTTTGGGCCAGATTCACGAAAGCACTTACGCAAGCACTTACGAACGTGTACATCTTTCCTCAATCTTTGACGGCTTTGGTTACATTTATTAAACAGTTTACAAGCGTGAAAACTTGCCAATCAACTGTTGTTATTGTTATAAACAGCCTCCTGGTGCTTCGGAGTTCATTAACTGTTTTAATGATTGTAAACAAAGCCGTAAAAGATTGAGAAAAGATAAGGTTCGTAAGTGTTTGCGTAAGTGCTTTCGTGAATCTGGCCCCTTGACTGTCACTGTCGACTTCTTAAGGGGTCAAAGCACAGGTACCAACTAGGTTCTGCCAAACGATCCTCTTCAAGGATACTCAGACTTCTTCTTAGGGCCTACCGTCCAACAGGCTTCAGGTCACCACAACTCATCTTCCCACCGCTCACAACACTAGTTTCTCTCGAAAATTCATGCAGATTCTTCTCCAAAACGACACGATTTCCTCTTTCCCCTGGAGCGACGACGACGTGCGTGCTGCCCCTCTGACCTTCGCAAGCCCTCTGCACACGGCACGCTCGCAGCGACGACGTCATCTTTGCACACGACCCGTCGCATACTGTCGACATCGTATCTTGTTTCCTATAAAGTTGCTCGTATCCGCGACTTATTTTCTCTTCGGTAATATCCAATGACGGTTGTTTGCATAAAATCATTCCTCTGGATCCTCTGTAGGAATGATTATTCACATAAAGTTGCTGATATCCGTGGCTTATTTCCTTTTCGGCACTATCTTATAGCGGTTGCTTGTATAAAATCATTCCTCTGGATCCTCTGTAGGAATGATTATTCACATAAAGTTGCTGATATCCGTGGCTTATTTCCTTTTCGGCACTATCTTATAGCGGTTGCTTGCATAAAATCATTCCTCTGGATCATCTGTAGGAATGATTATTCCAAAGCGAGGAATAACTCACTTTGGGGCAAGTCCTTCACCATGAGGCTATATGGTGTTCCTAACAGTAAAATAGGTATCCGGGACTTAGGCAGCTGTTGTGGGTTGCATCCTGGGGTCAGGAGACCCCAATCTCGATAAGCCCAATAGGCTTCCTGACCCGGATATAGGAACTATATACAAGTTATACGTGTCAATGTTTCTAAATTTAATATTTTGATTCCAGATGTCTTGGTCAAGCGTGTTGTTGTTGATGCTAGTGCCGTGGGCGGCGGCTTACAACTATTACAACTACAACCAGCAGTACCCTACTCTGTGTGGTCTCTCAGCCCTCAGGGGCGCCGCCTATTACAACTACGCTTCCCGCCGGGCGGATAACTACCCGTTCTCCTGGGGGCGCAGAAGATATCGCGGCCCTCACATGCGGCGTAACAGAGTCCGCCATGGACGGCTCTTCCAGGACTCGCCTGACGAAGGGGAGAACTTGCTGTTCTCCGCTGTGGACGCGCTTGATGACCAGGGCTGCATCCTGAAGCTCCTCTGCCACTTGGAGGCCACCGACGAGGCTGACAACACCATAGAGGAGAACATCTTGACCGACATGTTCGCCAATATTTCAGTAACGGCTTTCAACGCGGCTTTCATCCGCGCCGCAGATATCGGCAGCAGTGGCCAGAACGCTACGGAATGCGACGTTTCATTTTCCAGTTGTCAGCTGAGCGCCGCGCAGCTGAGAGGTCTACTGCAACAGGCCTGGGGGTGTGGCGGGTACCCATTCAGCGATGACCTTCCTGTCCTTAGTCAAGATAGTCAGAGCCTCGACCAACAGAATACACCACAGGGCAGCGTCGCTACTCTACTTACGGGCTCACCATAGTCCGTGCTACTTGAACTTTTTCTTCAAAGGAGCGAATCTTAAACAACAACAACAGCTACTTTACTCTCCCAGTTACCTGGTGATGGGCAGTAACTGTCCAGTCACCCAGTAATCATGCGCTTAGGGTTCGAACCTGCATTACGTGGGCTCATCCTCTGGCGTACACAGTACCACTTAACCAGCGATTGATTATATAATGATTGGCTAGTCCTGGAGTTTATTTACTAAGTTCCATGACTAACCATTCACCTGCAACTCTAGTGGTGCGATCAGGGGCCAGATTCACGAAGCAGTTACACAAGCACTTACGAACTTATACATCTTTCCTCAATCTTTGACGTTACATTTATTTATTAAACACTTTACAAGCATGAAACTTGCCAATCAACTGTTGTTATTGTTATAAACAGCCTCCTGGTGCTTCGGAGCCCATTAACTGTTTAATAACTGTAAACAAAGCCGCCAAAGATTGAGAAAAGATGTACAGGTTCGTAAGTGCTTGCGTAACTACTTCGTGAATCTGGCCCCAGGTTCGTAAGTGCTTGAGTAACTGCTTCGTGAATCTGGCCCCCCAGACACTACTTCTTATAGGCATCCCTGGCACTGGGTTCGAACCCTGGTAAGGGCCATAAAAGTCTTAAGTGATTAATGACTTGAGAACCATTTAAGCTTTATTTCATATATATATATATTTACATTTATATGTATTTATTTATTGAACACGATAAAAAACTTTATTATTTAATATTTGTTTGATAATTTTTCATATCATGAGTTATATCAGCGTATTGTGACACCATACACGAGGTCAGTGATGGTGAAGTCACCATACACGAGGTCAGTGATGGTGAAGTCACCATACACAAGGTCAGTGATGGTGAAGTCACCATACACAAGGTCAGTGATGGTGAGGGCACCATACACAAGGTCAGTGATGGTGAAGTCACCATACACAAGGTCAGTGATGGTGAAGTCACCATACACAAGGTCAGTGATGGTGAAGTCACCATACACGAGGTCAGTGATGGTGAGGGCACCATACACGAGGTCAGTGATGGTGAGGGCACCATACACGAGATCAAGGATGGTGAAGTCACCATACACGAGATCAAGGATGGTGAAGTCACCATACATGGTTCAGTATGAGTGAGCTGACAGCCCTTATTCAGTATTAGCAAGAGGAATTGTTTTCAAAAGGAACTACAAATAAACTCCTAAACTCCTGTCCTAAACTCTTAGGACATACATTTTACATACATACATCTTTGACAGCTTTGGTTACATTTATTAAACAGTTTACGAGCATGAAAACTTGCCAATCAACTGTTGTTATTGTTATAAACAGCCTCCTGGTGCTTCGGAGCTCATGAACTGTTTAATAATTGTAAACAAAGCCGCCAAAGATTGAGAAAAGATGGACAGGTTCGTAAGTGCTTGCGAATTGCTTCGTGAATCTGGCCCCTGGCCAAGTAGGTGGGCAGAACGCAGATTAATATTAATATGCCATCTGATTATGGGGCCAGATGATCTGTCTGTACAGTATTATGTTGTAGTTTCTTGTTTATTAATTGCAAACGCAGCAATTATAGGGGTGCTAGGCACCTCATTAACATGACAAAACTTTACAAATCATCTACAGAAAGGATCTACGTTAACTTATCCTTTGTTTCGAATGAAACAAATATCTTTGTTCTTCAATATTTATTTTATAACAAATTTTATAATCTTGATCCAAGAGTGAAACACAAAGTTAATTATACTACGTCTGAATAGTCAGAAGGTCGACTATCTATACATGTTTTTTCTAAACAGACATAACAATGGCGTGATGTATGAATTGTATCATTTGGAGGCAATTGAAAAACCTGTCTTAACCGACTCGGCCACAATAGGCTAAATGTCCATCATGACCCATTAGGCTACCTAAAAAATTGCCTCCAAATTTTCAAAACGCCACATTTCTACATGATTTCAATGAGAAAATCAATTTGAATTACAATGTTAAATAATAAGAACCTCAGTAAACAAGACATGAACGAGGCAGGAACAGTTTGACCGCAGTCAGTGTCAAGCAACAGTTGCCGTTGCATTGAAGTGTTGCTACAACATCCTCAACATGCATGCAACATCACTCACATCCTATATGTTGCGACGGGCAATTATGTGTTGCTTTTGCCGGGTGGCAATAAGATAGGAATCGCAGCCCCAGGCCTGCTGCAGCAGACTGCTGAGCTGCTCCGGAATCAGCGGACACATGTAGAAATGCTTATCGCATTCATGGATATCCTGAGCCTTTGCGCCGATATCCGCGGCGCGGATGAAAGCGACATTATAGTGAGTCTCGGTGATATTAGCGAACAAATCAATCAACACGCTTTCCTCCTGAGACAGCAAAGACTTCTCCTTAATCTGAAGATAACACAGAAGTTTAAGAATACATCCTTCTGTATCGAGTTTCCCCACGGCAGACAGGAGTTCCTCTCCGGCGTCCCTAGCGCCCTCGAGGCTTCGGCCAAAGCGATGTTTATTGTACAGAAACTCGTACTTCTGTGCCTTGTGGAGGGCGGCCGTGTACCCAATAAGGGCGGCGCCCTTGAGGGCTGCTAGGCCGCCCAGCGCCCCGGCCAGCAGGAGCAAGGCCTTGACCCCAGTCACCATCAACACCATCATCACTATGAAGCTCCGCATCTGAGGAAGAAATGCGAAATTAGTATTATAGTTAGGACAGTAAATCGCCCAGATAATGATATTACATATGTATCATCTGCCCATGAGAGATAGAATGAGACAGAGTGAGATAGAGATACTCTTAATGGCTCTAAGTCTTTATTTTTAAATATATTTAAACTTGGGAAAGAAAGTGGCGATAGTTTAGTAACTTAGATACTGGCGATAGAGAGACAGAGACAATGAGTGAGAGAGAGACAGAGACAGAGACAGAAACAGAGAGACAGAGAGACAGAATGGGTATAAATTGGATAAGTTTAGATTTAGGAAAGACTAGGGTAAATACTGGTTCAGTAACAGGGTTGTTGATTTGTGGAACCAATTGCCGCGTAACGTGGTGGAGGTGGGGTCCCTCGATTGTTTCAAGCGCGGGTTGGACATGTATATGAGTGGGATTGGGTGGTTATAAATAGGAGCTGACTCGTATGGGCCAACAGGCCTTCTGCAGTTACCTTTGTTCTTATGTTCAGAGAGACAGAAACAGAGTGACAGAAACAGAGAAACAGAGAGACAGAGAAACAGAGAGACAGAGAGACAGAGAGACAGAGAAACAGAGAGACAGAGAAACAGAGACAGAGAAACAGAGAGACAGAAACAGAGAAACAGAGAGACAGAAACAGAGAGACAGAGAAACAGAGACAGAAACAGAGAAACAGAGAGACAGAGAAACAGAGAGACAGAGAAACAGAGACAGAGAGACAGAGAAACAGAGAGACAGAGAAACAGAGAGACAGAGAAACAGAGAGACAGAGAAACAGAGAGACAGAGAAACAGAGAGACAGAGAAACAGAGACAGAGAAACAGAGAGACAGAGAAACAGAGACAGAGAAACAGAGAGACAGAGAAACAGAGAGACAGAGAAACAGAGAGACAGAGAAACAGAGAGACAGAGAAACAGAGAGACAGAGAAACAGAGAGACAGAGAGACAGAGAAACAGAGAAACAGAGAGACAGAGAAACAGAGAGACAGAGAAACAGAGAAACAGAGAGACAGAGAAACAGAGAGACAGAGAAACAGAGAGACAGAGAAACAGAGACAGAGAAACAGAGAGACAGAGAAACAGAGAGACAGAGAAACAGAGAGACAGAGAAACAGAGACAGAGAAACAGAGAGACAGAGAAACAGAGAGAGACAGAGAAACAGAGAGACAGAGAGACAGAGAAACAGAGAGACAGAGAAACAGAGAGACAGAGACAGAGAAAGAAACAGAGAGAGACAGAGAAAGAAACAGAGAGAGACAGAGAAAGAAACAGAGAGAGACAGAGAAAGAAACAGAGAGAGACAGAGAGAAACAGAGAGAAACAGAGAGAGACAGAGAGAAACAGAGACAGAGAAACAGAGAAACAGAGAAACAGAGAAACAGAGAGACAGAGAAACAGAGAGACAGAGAAAGAAACAGAGAGAGACAGAGAAAGAAACAGAGAGACAGAGAAAGAAACAGAGAGACAGAGAAAGAAACAGAGAGACAGAGAAAGAAACAGAGAGAGACAGAGAGACAGAGAAAGAAACAAAAAGTGACAGAGAGACAGAGAAAGAAAGAGAGAGAGACAGAGAGACAGAGAAACAGAGAGACAGAGATAGAGAGAGATAGAAAGAGATAAAAGCAAAGAAAAGAGAAACAAGAACTCACCTTTACTTTGAGCGACGAGGGAGATGTCTATTCCAGAGCACTTCCAAGGAAATTGATAACTTTTGCCCGGGGACGTCGCTTATATACTATGGTAGAGCCCTATCCCCAGGCTTTTACGGGCTATTCATGCCCGTGCTACCTCTTGTGTAGCTTAGGCTTCACCAATCCCCAGGCTTAAGCAGACCTCTGATTAGTGGAGACCGGGGCTTGACAGCCAATAGCACATCAAGTTCATGTTCGAATTCAGGTACATGGGATTAATTTCTAGATTTATGGACGAGATTTGAATTTATGGACATAAATTCACTTGAACGCGTCCAGCATGAACACCTTAGAATGGAAGTAGCTTCAGAAAGCCTATTGGACCATACGAGGCAACTCCTATTGAAGATCAAGTGCGTTTATTGAGACAATAAAATAAATCTCAAAGGGATAGAGTAGTTTAGGCTATTTCTACCCTCCTCTACTTCAAGTCCCTCAAGCGGCGCATAAATCCAGTGAGTACAAATGGGATTGCAATGTTAAATGGGATTACAAGAATCCCATTTAACATTGCAGGTTAATATCGTAAGCACAGCATATGAGTGTTACACTCTTGGGGCAAAATTCTTGTAGCTCCTAAGTATACTGTCTATCATACCATTATCACACACCCAGTTTGATGTGGTACACTACTTATTTCCTTATTTCTATAGTTATCAATAAGTTGACACTCTAATACATAATGTTCTAAGGTGTGGGCGTGCAGCATACTACATAATTTACACTCCTTATCTTTTTCACTGACATCAACACCGTATTGCCAGATATATTTGTAGCCTACTCTTAATCTCATGTAAATTGAATCCTTCCAAGTTGACTTTCCTTTACCATAAGTGAAGGACGAGTTTGTATTTATTATTGAATAATTCTTAAGTGTGTTACTACTGTCACTTGGTGACATGATAGAGGTTTACAAGTGGATGAATGGACATAACAAAGGGGGATATTAATAGGGTATTAAAAGTATCAACACAAGACAGAACCAGAAACAATGGGTATATATTGTATAAGTTTAGATTTAGGAAAGACTTGGGTAAATACTGGTTTGGTAACAGAGTTGTTGATTTGTGGGACCAATTGCCGCGTAACGTGGTGGAGGTGGGGTCCCTCGATTGTTTCAAGCGTGGGTTGGACATGTATATGAGTGGGATTGGGTGGTTATAGATTGGAGCTGCCTCGTGTGAGGCAATGGGCCTTCTGCGGTTGGCTTTGTTCTTATGTTCTTAAAAGTATCAACACAAGACAGAACACGAAACAAAGGGTACAAACTAGACAAGTTTAGACTCGTATGGGTCAATAGGCCTTATTATACTTTAACATATATAGTTCATTACTTCCCACCATTTGAACTGAGAGGATTAATTCATTAGATCCCCCACCTCTCATTAATCTAATGGCAGAGGCTACATTTATCTCTGAAAATCTATCCCCAACACTTCTCAGATTCAACTCTATCCTCATTATCTCAGTCACAGCATTTCATAAGTTACTCCATCCACCCCCAGGGGGCAGTAGAGTTCCCAACAAGTGAGATCACCACTGTTACCTGCTGTAAGTATAAAATCCTTTCTTAGATCTTTCCAAGGAGCTGCCTCGTATGGGCTAAGAGGCCTTCTGCAGTTACCTTTGTTCTTATCATCTTATGATGTCCTACAAGAATGTATTTCACTGCCAAAGAAACAATCAACACCAACCTGGGAGGAATACATCGTAGATGCAGTAATTTATCCCTCTAAAAGTATCAACACAAGACAGAACAAGAAACAATGGGTATATATTGTATAAGTTTAGATTTAGGAAAGACTTGGGTAAATACTGGTTTGGTAACAGAGTTGGGTCCGTCTAATTACCACAAGCTACCACAAACTACACAAACTTCAGAAAGCTTCCTGGCAATACGTTATGTTCTCAGACTCTAACTTTGCTCTGATTTTCTTACAATCGGTAAGGAAATTAACACGGAAGAAGACTCACTATCACTTCAAGTTGATCTAAAAAGGGTTTTGAAATGGTCAAAGGATTGGCAGATGCAGTTTAATAAGAACATAAGAACATAACGAAGAGAAAGGAAGCGCAGGCCCCTCAGAAAGTAAAGGAAGTACCTAAGCAAACATTAGTTGTGGGAGATTCCCAGATAAGGTATTTGGATAGAACGTTTTGTGCTAGAGATAGGGGGAACAGGTTAAGGGTTTGCTATCCCGGAGCTGGCATTGGTGATATTATAAACAACATGAATGATATTATGGCTGGTAATGGGAACAATCCCATTATTTGCATTAGCGTGGGAGGAAATGATGTTGGTCGAGTCAGGAGTGAGGAACTGATTCAGAGGTATAAAACAGCCATAGAGTTAGTTAGGAGCAAGGGAGGAATCCCGATCATATGTGGCATTCTTCCAAGAAAGGGAGTGGGAAATGAATGGATATCGAGGGCACTTGGTGTCAATTGCCGGCTGGAAAGATATTGCAAATCAAATGCAATATCTTTCATAGACAACTGGGAACACTTCTATGGAAGAAATGAAATGTATGCTCGTGATGGGGTGCATCTATCGAGAGCTGGGGTTGTTGCTGTTGCGAACTCGCTAGAAGAAGTGGTTAGAGGTGTTTGTTTGGGTTTAAACTGTTAGTAGATAGAGGTATGGGAATTGATTTGGAGGAAGGAGGTAATAAAAGTATGTGTTTGTGGGAGAAAGGAATTGGCAAAACGATCAGGGAAAGAGAAGGTCCGCAAAATAACAATTCACTTAGGGTATATTACACAAACAGTAGAAGTCTAAGAAACAAAATTAACGAATTAAATGCTCTTGTCTGCACAGAAAAAATAGATATTATTGCACTTACCGAAACGTGGATGAATGTAGAAAATAGAGAACTATTAGCTGAATATCAAATATATGGATTTAAACTATTTCACACAGATAGATATATTAGACGAGGAGGTGGAGTAGCCATATATGTTAGGGACAATTTGAAATGTAGTCTCAAAGAGGGAATCAAAACAGAGCCACACACAGAAACTATTTGGATTGAATTAAACGAAAAAGCTAATAATATTATAATAGGAGTAATATATAGGCCACCAAATTTAGACAGAATGGAAGCAAAGCATCTATGGGATGAAATATCTAGAGCATCTAGATCTAACAGTATTTATGTCATGGGTGACTTTAATTTTAGCGGAATAAACTGGTTGAACAAAACAGGGAATAGTGAAGCAGAAGATTTTCTAGAATTAATTGACGATTGCTTTCTTACGCAACACATTAAGGAACCAACACGGGAAAATAATATTTTAGATTTAGTGTTAACTAACAGGGAAACGCAAATTAATGACATCGAAATAGGGAGTGAGCTAGGGAGCAGTGATCACAAAGAAATCAGATTTAGCATAGAATGGAATAGACCAGTAGGAGAAAATTCTGTTAAAGTGCCAGATTTTCGAAAAGCTGATTTTAATAGCCTAAGAAATTTTTTGGGTCAAATTGATTGGAAAGGCTTGGGTATGGGGTGTGGGCCGGTCTTGGAGCGAGACATGAACCCAGCGATAGGTGACTTAAATGGGGATTTCGATGTGGATTCAATATATAACTCATTTAAGAATATTCTAAACAAAGCACAGGAACGTAGTATACCATACAAATTGAATAGATCGTATACTAATGACCCAAAGTGGATAACAAAGAATTTGAAGAACCTTATAGGTAAAAAGAGAGCTTGGTACAAAAGGATTAAAAATGGGGAGGTCACTTTAGAACAGGAATTCGTACAACTGGTTAGAAATGTTAAAAAAGAGATAAGGAAAGCAAAAAGAAACTATGAAGTTCGCATAGCAGGGCAAGCAAAGACAAATCCTAAAGGGTTTTTTCAGTTATATCGTACTAAGACTAGGGAAAGGATAGGTCCATTAAAAACTGAGACAGGTCAAATAACAGATAGTGATGAAGAGATGAGTAGTATTTTTAATAAATATTTTGTATCTGTATTTACTAAAGAGGAACTTAACAATATGCCTTCAGCCGAACAAGTCTATGTGGGTGGGGACGAGGACAGGTTGACGAGTTTAGCAGTTACCAGGGAGGATGTTCTTAAACAAATAGTAAAACTCAAACCAAACAAATCCCCAGGGCCGGATGAAGTGTTTGCTAGGGTGCTTAAAGAATGCAAAGAGGAGCTTTGTGACCCACTGTCAACCATATTTAATAAATCAATAGAGTCAGGCAGAGTGCCAGAGTTTTGGAAAGTTGCTAATGTGATACCAGTTTTTAAGAAAGGAGATAGATCACTTGCGTCTAACTATCGACCAATTAGCCTAACGTCTATTGTGGGAAAGTTACTCGAATCTATAATAGCAAATAAAATTCGTCTTCATCTTGAAAAACATAAATTAATAATTGAGTCGCAACATGGTTTTATAAATGGCCGTTCATGTTTAACAAATTTGTTATCTTTTTATTCTAGCATTGTTGAGGCAGTTGATAGTGGTAAGGATTGCGATGTTGTATACCTTGACTTTAGCAAAGCTTTTGATACAGTGCCACATGAAAGACTGATTAAAAAAATAGAGTCTCATGGTATTGGGGGTGCTGTATTAAGCTGGATTAGGGCATGGCTATACCAAAGGAAACAGAGAGTTAGTATAAATGGAATCAAGTCAGAGTGGGAAAATGTTGTAAGTGGAGTGCCTCAAGGCTCTGTCCTGGGACCTCTGTTGTTTATAATATATATAAATGATTTAGATTCAGGTTTGAGTAGCAACATTTGCAAATTTGCCGATGATACGAAAATCGGTAGGAAATTAATTCGGAGGAGGACTCACTATCACTTCAAGTTGATCTAGATAGGGTTTTGAAATGGTCAAAGGATTGGCAGATGCAGTTTAATGCTGATAAATGTAAAGTTCTGAGGTTAGGTAATGATGATAGAGTTACAAGATACGAGCTAGATGGTGTTGTGATTGCGAAGTCGGATTGCGAAAGGGATCTGGGAGTTATGATTAGTAAGAATTTAAAACAAAAGGATCAATGCATAAATGTTCGTAATAAGGCAAATCGGACACTTGGATTTATTAATCGCAGCGTTAGTAACAAGACACCTGGTGTGGTTCTCAAGCTATATCTTGCTCTAGTTAGGCCCCATTTAGATTATGCAGTTCAGTTTTGGTCGCCATATTATAGAATGGATATAAATTCACTTGAACGTGTCCAGCGTAGGATGACTAAGTTAATCGCCCAAATTAGAAATCTTTCATATGAAGAAAGATTAACAAAGCTTAAGTTGCATTCACTGGAAAGGCGAAGAGTTAGGGGTGACATGATAGAGGTTTACAAGTGGATGAATGGACATAACCGGGGGGATATTAATAGGGTATTAAAAGTATCAACACAGGACAGAACACGAAACAATGGATATAAATTGGATAAGTTTAGATTTAGGAAAGACTTGGGTAAATACTGGTTCAGTAACAGGGTTGTTGATTTGTGGAACCAATTGCCGCGTAACATTGTGGAGGTGGGGTCCCTCGATTGTTTCAAGCACGGGTTGGACAAGTATATGAGTGGGATTGGGTGGTTATAGAA